CCCTTAAATACAGTGCATTTACTCTTTCTAAACTACGATCTTACAATACAAATAATTCAGAAGTATGAGAAATTTGTTGACAGCACACTTGAAATATTTAATGAGTATATAATTTCATATGTCCAGCTGTGTGCAGTAGACTAGTTCAGCTAAATCAAACAAGTCTCCACAAATTAAAATAATTAAAAACTAATCAGTAAAGTCTATACATGAAAGAGAACTTAAATTTTTATTTGATCATATAAAATTTGCCACATACCACCCTCTATATATCCACTGCAATATTGCCAGATTGCATGAATTTTTCAAAATATTTTTCTTCAGTCTCAGTGAAATGAGAAAATTATAAAAACAATCACTATTTCTAAATAAGCTGTACAATATACTATCAAAAGGATCCAAACTATGATTCACTTCATAGAAACACAAATGGCTTTCACTGAATCCAAGAGCCACAACCTAGAAATCACAATACTGCTATCCAGTACAAGAAGAGCTAGTAACAGGTAACTAGCCTATAAAATACTTACACAGGAATAGTTTATTATTGTGATTCCTTCATATTTGAAGAAGTCCTGACCTTTGTTTTGCTCCATCCAGACAAGGGAAGTCAGGTCTGCCTATTCATCCTTGCTGATACAGCCAGGATGCTGCTGCAGAATGACATAGTCATTCACTGAGCACAGGAGCTTCTACGACCATAGTGTGGCTTTAGTCCATAAATACAGACATGTGCCTTTATCCTGACCTGCTGCTAAAACAGCACTTAAATTCTGATGTATCTCATAGAAATTAAACAGTATAAAGGACACTTCTATAACCAGCCTCTGTGGGATTTTCAAGGACGGGTCCAAATACTGGAAGTGATATAAGGAACAAGGATATAAGAGGTCTATTACAGAAGGAAGGATAAAAAAAAGAGGGGGACAGAACAACCTAAGTACAAAATTGCTACAAGATTGTTTGTAATACCAGTTGTGTTCCTTCACTTCTGAGGTACATTACATATATTAGGTCCTTTCCCTTGATTACTAGTTCAGTTACTTTTTTCCTCTTCATTACAAAACCATAGTCCTGTCTCTTAGCAGAAGTTTTCCTTGGTCAATTAATTTCAAGAGTCCAGGAAGCTGTGTAGTCAGTATCACCTTCATAAGGTGTTAAAAAAAAAGTAAGAATTCAATGGTCATCTTCAGCTTTCAGTTGCAAAGTCAGACTTATTTGCACCCCTGTCTTCAACAAGCATCTCCAGGATGCAAAAGCATTTTGACTGAAATAAGAAGAGCCTCTCCATTATTATTTCACTTCTTCTTCATGGTTACTAAATTGAAGCTTCACTGTAAAATCACTCTGTCCTTAAAACAGAATCTATATCAGATTTGTTATCTACTAGATCCTAGACTACCTATAATATCCATTTTCTTTCATTTTTCAGTTTCCCTCATTCCCCCTTTGCTAGTCAGTACAATTTCTGAAATAACTAATGCTCACTCACATAGTCCTGTTTCGTTCTTTTTTTCTGACAGCTTCTTCACAAAAACGTATGTCATAATCAGTTTATTTTCTCTCTCCCCTCAAATTTGTACTTTTTTTCAGGTTTCTAGCTTTAATTTTTTCTAGTTGCTTTCAGTTTTGAGGTATTTCTCTTTTCTTCTTCTCCCTTTAATCTTAGAAGCATGTGAGCTACAAGCCACTTTTTGCAATCAGCACAGGGGTCCAAATCTGTCCAGAGAGATACTTGTATTCCACATGGGCTGAATCATCCTGAGGGAGCACAGGAGAGCAGGAGCCTCAGCTAATGGTCTGAACCGGTACATTCAGTCCACCATCTTATCACACCTGCAGTCTGGAGGTTATTCTCACTTTGTCTCCAACACAGAATTTCACAGCAAGCAGAGTCCTTCATTACAGTACAAGGTAAGAAAATGCATTAATCACCTCACCCACTTTGGATCTCAAAGCAGTCAATGATGCAACAGCTGTTGGATGAACATGGCTTAGACTAAGTTAGCCTTATACTAACTTAGTATGATTTATACTAACATACTGTGTATGTTATTACATACACAACTCAGCCAATAGCCCATTCAAGGAGATGGATTTACTAATTTAAAACCAAACAGAATTACTCCACTTGTCCACCCTATGGGTCCTTTAAAACATACACCTCCCCATCAGCCAATATTACTTGCCTACAATATTACAATGCATTTCCCCATTTATTTAAGTCTTCCCTGTTAGACTTTATTTTAACTCTTGAGAGCACACTTGTCTAAGACACTATGAATTCATCTATGACCTACAGATGGCACTTCTGAGAAAAATCAGAATAAAAACCAGGTTGTTTAAGGAGCTCTCTAGAAATGTAGCTATGCTTATAACTGTTCCTTCTAATCCAGGAATAGGTTCTGAAACTTCATCTCAGGTCGCCACAAACTCCCAGTGATGACAAAGCCCTGCTGAACACCATAATGATCTAAATAAACAGATGTACAGGAAGGGTGCATCTTAAAAGTCCTCTGATATGAGTACAACACACAGAGAGAGTCTTGTATGCAATGAAGAGACAGACATAAGTCTCCGAGCACTGGAAACAGTGAAACCTAGTGGTGTATGGGTTTGTATAAAGTAATTTGTCATTCTAACTTAATTATATTAAGATTCAGCATAAAGAGAGTGTCATCCAAGAATTCATACAGGAGACAGCTGCTATGAATATCAAAGTTGGAAGGCAAATCTTCATTGACTTTCATATCTCTGAGAATCCACAGGGGAGAGAACTTTGACTGAAAGTGGCTCAAGTCTAAGATGAGAAAAATTTCTTCTGAAGCATTCTCCACATCTCAGAAATCTATCAGGGCATCCATTTGAGTGAATCTTCAAGGTATAACAAGATTAAACTTATGCCACAAGCTTATGGTTTCACATCTGCCTGGCCAACTGACCTTCCACCCATTCTTGTGAGGGTTGGACCACTGCAACTCCTGCTTTTCCACTACCACTGATTGCATTTGGGAGCCAACACTTCCAAAAGCAAAGTGGGATTAAGTATCTCTTATTTCCACAGAAAGCAGGCTGCAAGTTAGGAAGAGGACACATTCATTCATACACATCCAAGAGGAAAATCAATGATTTGGCAGCAATTCTAGGTTACCCTGTTCTGTACTATTGCTGCACTGTTGTCCACTGGATTAAGCAAGGCAAAAGGATCCTTGCAGGTTAGACAACCCAGTAAGCAGAGCTTTAAACCAGAAAAAACAGGAGAAAATGACTCCTCAACAAGTAGGGAAGATGTGGATGGGGTAGGCAAGCCAAGGGCCTGGGTGGTAAGAATGAAAGAGACACAGCAATTCACGAAACAGAGCTGAAGTGGAGTCTCTCCAAGCATAAGTACTTAAAGAAGGAGGTGCCTGCAGAACAGCCTCATGGAGAAAGCTCCCAAAACTCCAAAACTGTACTGAGGAATCAGCACACTTGGGTGCCTGCCTGAACTGTCTCTACACTGATGCACACAACATGGGAACAAACAGGAGGAGTCAGAAGTCTGTGTGCAGTTTCTGGACTATGACCTCAACGGGATAATGGAGTCATGGTAGGATAGCTCACAGGAATGTTTTGCTACCATGGATAGGCAAAGGCTGTTTAGTAAGGACAGGCTGACAAGATGAGGAGGTGAGTTGCTTTTTATGTGAAAGAACAGCTGGAAATTGTGGAGTTCTGCCTTGGGAACTTTCAGGAGATGGTAAATAGCTCATAGATTAAGATCAACGGGCAGACCAGCATGGGTACTTACTGTAGTGGTGGTACATACTGCACATAGTAGTAGTCTGCTCTATGTAGTACATGCTATGGACTTCCTAGTTAGGAAGAAGTAGATTATGCCCTCTTCAGACAACTGGAATGAGATTCATGTTCACAGGCCATACTCCTTACACTGGAAATTCTAGCTACTGAGATGTGTTCTGCATGGAAGGACAATTTAATCTAGGGCTCAAGCAATGTAGAATTCTACAGTGCCTTGATGATAAGTTCCCAAGGTGATCATGAAGCAAAAGAAAGAAAGGTGCCCTGCCTAACCTGGTATGTACAAATAATGAAGAATTGGGTGTGCTGTAGACAAGTCAGTAGTAGTGTGCCCTCCTTAGCCTGAAATATTCTGTTTATAAACAAGAGAATAAGTTTCTTGAGATCCAATATTAAATGAAGAGCTGTTGCAGTATTTACTCTGTTTCTGAAGTTTCTGAAGAGAGAAGATGCAAGAATCAAAAAAGCTAAGTTGTGTTCTATGCAAAACACATATTGGGGAACACCTTTCAATAATCCAATACTCTGGAAATACAAAACTACCAATCAGTAAACCAGCCAACTATGCCAACAATTAACAACAGCCACACAGTGTAAAGTGCCATGCTTTCAGCTCATACCATTGTGGCTACAAAGCCTAATACACAAAAGCCAAAGGCTACTCCAACTAGAAAGCAAGAAAGGAGCACTTCATGAAAGCGCATTTGAAATAAGAGTTGATCCTTCCACTGTAACAATGGTGCTACCAAATAACACTGGAGGATTTTTACTTCCTAGTATTTCCTAGTATTATACATAGAAAAAAGTGTAATCTATAAGCTAGTCACTTTTAGTAAAAAAGTGCTGTCAGCACTTGCAGGGAGATATGTGAAGTTTTTAAAATACAAAAAGAACTTTTAATATGGAAAAGTATTAGTGGTGCAGAATGAAATGGAACATGCACTGGTACAACTGCTTATATTATACCAACTTTTCCTTGTAACTTTTTAAACAAACTACAGAAGGAAGAATGGAGTTTTTCATCTACTGATACATAACAGAAAATGGAATGCTAGCAGAGCTTATGTTATCTAATTTCTGCATCAAGGTAGTTAAACAATACATGTATTTGAATATATATAAATATTTTCATTCAAACATAAGGTATTTCAAATCTCATATTGTCTTAGAAGGAAGCAAACTTACAAAGCAACACATACCTGATATACCCTGAGACTCCTTCTGTAGATCACAGTACCACAGTCTGTTCACTGGATCACAGCCTTCTCTGATAGACAGCAAGACATACCGACCATCATCAGACACCTGTAAGAAGACACAGAAAAATTAAACATAATTCACCCTTTGGAAAAAAGAAGTCCAACTTGAAAAGTGAGTTCACACACACAGAAAAATCTAGTCCTGCTGTTAAAAGAACATTACAAGCTACAACCACAATATAAATTACCTGATGAAGCTTCTTGGTTTGCATTTGTACATGCATGTACCCATACAACAGAAATTCTGAAATAGTGTCTGCTACTACAGAAAGTCATCCATTAATCCTTCTTGCTACTCAGGCTTTGCAAACACACTATATTTCTTGACAAAGCTTTTGAAAGTGCAAGTCCGACAAGGAAAGGCAGAAAGTAACAAGAAGTCTTAGAAGTCTCCCTCTCCTGACTGAGCCGTTTTTAGCATATTTGAAAATTACCAAATTTTGATGTTTTATTAACAGAGCTCATAGAGAAGGTTGTTTACTGTCCACATTCTTATATGACCTTATCTAATGGAAATTTAAACCCCCAGTCACAAAATATGAATCTGAGTTCTGGAATTTTTCTGTTTGGCACTATACACAGCTTCAAAACAATTCTTATATTGTAATTATTTCTTAGATATATTTCAGTTTATATTTGTGACATTTGTCATGCAAAATGTCTGTAGAATGAATTGTGCAAAATAAATTTCAGAATAATTAGGTTCTAATTATACAGGTTCTGAATTCCTAATTCAGAGGAATGAGGTTCTAATTCCAACAGATCCACAATTTTAAAGACACAAGAAAGGGACATAGTAGAACAGAAACAAATCTCAGTGCATGAAAGTTAATAAAAAACACCAACAACCAAACACTCTTTGAAACAAAAACAATCCCTAAATGAGTGTTTACACATCGTATTTTTACAGGCATTTTGTTAAGATCGAATTATACCACAAAAAAAGTCCATACAATCAAAAGCTCACAAGACAAATAGAAAAGAACACCTAAGAATCCCACTGTAGCCAAGAAACCACTCCATTATATGAAATACCAAAGACATCTTTAACAGGGCACCCTGCACCTAGAAACAAATAGATCCAGAAATGGAAACTAAGATTAGGCGATCTTTCTTGAAAGAATACATCTTCAGTGGTTTTAGGTAAGCAATAACTGCAGGTGTAAATTTTAATTAAGAAAATGATTGCAATAGGCTGCTTAAACATCTTGTCCATACTTGTGAAAGCAACAAGTTCCCTTCATTTCCTCACCAATTAAAAAAACATAACAAATAATTTAAAGTTGTATATAAAAATACAGATTTCAGTTATACTCTAGAATATGACACACAAAACTTTTAGTCACTGTCAGAACACATTCAAATTTATTATTTGATTCTGTGAGTAAAACAGTTAAGAGAAGACTGATAACTTTACCCAACAAAGAACAGAGATGTGCAGATTCTTGATGTTGTTGCAAGGGTAATTCAGAATCTCTGATAACAGCAAATCTGAATATATCTAACTTTTCCTTCTATATTCCCAGATGGACTAGTTAAGAGTTGATAGCAGTTTATGTTTAATTTGAAGTAAGAACTCCCAAGACATCTTGCTGGTGGGGTATCAATTATGTGTATCTCTATCACTAAAGCTATTCTTATACCAGTGAGTTCTACAACCTTAAGGATTTTGACAGAAACAGAACAAGACGGTTGACTGCAGCATGCTAAAATATTCAGGATTATACTGCAGATTTAGACGTCTACATTGCAAAGTTACAGTTTAATGAGCAATCTTGGCAGCAACACCAGCTTATGCAGTCTCCACCTCTAGCTCTTCCTACAGCTATAGCTGCTTGTGTCCATGTAAGTTCATTCCCCATGTCATGACAGTACAAGCATCCACCATTTGTGAAGTGCACCAGTTCAGGGAACTGACACAACTAAAAAAATGGCATGTTCAACAACAACGAAAAAATTTAAACTTCCAAGAACCAGAGAAGAAGAAAGAATCCCGAAAAACAAAACCCAAACAAACAAAACATAGAATCCAGAAGTGGAAGGAGAAAGAAAAAGGAAAAATACTTAAACAATCCACAATAACAAAAAAAAGAAGACTAAAAGAAGCCCCTCTGCCAGATTAGTATCTCAATCAGTTCACTGTTCAGTTGCACAAATGGCCAAGCTAACACACAGCACCAAACAGCTGGAAACATGAATAACAGGGGTAGAGATTGCTTAATGCAGCTCAGATTGCAGCACTGATGAATGTGTAATCTCAGCCCAAATGCCACTGACCCTACACTGTAAACAGACAAGAGTCTGGGTTTCAGGATGGCAAAAAGAAATAGTATTTACCAAGTATCATTTGAATTATTCTTACATTGATACATCATCTTCATGAGCTCAGTCACAATCCCTGCTCTTGGCTCACAAATTTATGAACTGAAATTTCATACTAGTACCTCACTCAAATCTCAGAATGCATTCATGGTTCAGCATAAGGGGGACAGCTGCAATGTCAGACCTGATTTCCTACATTTATGATGAAAAGGAAACATATCTCAAGAATTTCTGAGAGAGCTCTGGAATGCCAGTCAGTGTACACTTCTCTCATTAAAAAATTACTATAATTTCAAACACCCACTGGTAAAAGGTAAGCAGGCTATAAAGTGATTTCACCTCTTAACATTTAGTATCTGTCAAAACAGGACAGAAGAAATCTTGTAGCCTTTCTACTGCAGCTTTTGAAAACCTTCAGCATAACAATGATTTTACTGTCATAAAACAGCACTAATGCCTAACTCAGCACCAGTAAAGGAAGAATTATTTCAAAGAGCTGATGTTGGCATGTAGCTTTTAGTTTCACTACTACTGTCATTCAGTCAGTTGGCAATTTTGAGTTTGTTAGATCTACTATTTCTTAAAAATTTATTGTGACCATCATTACACCATACAAACATACATAACAATATCACTAAGACAGCTGTACTCTTAAGTACTATTTAATCTAGTCTTTCAAGCATCAAAACCTTTAAATCCTCCTTTATAGTAGAGTTCTGGTTTATAGTGGAGCGTTTTCTCTGGATTCTTTTTCTGCCTAGTGATTTCATTCCATTGTTATCTGTTCTCTCTATTTTGATGAACAGTAGCCACTGCTACGACAAATATAAACAGAAGAATCAGTTTACCTGTAACTTCAATATATCAAAAAACAAAAATATTTGAAGTCTAAAAAGTAAAAATAATCTTCTAACCACTCAAATCTCATCTTTGTTACAAAATACAACTAATTCATTATATAAGCCATATAAGAAACTGCAAACAGTTATGAGAATCCACAGCAAAAACAAAGTGAAATATTTTGTCTAGCAGCAGCAGCAGATTGCAGACCAAAAACTCATACATAATTGAACTAACAACGACAAAAAAGAATGAACACAAAAAAGTTGTTGGGTTTTTAGACTTTCTGTCTTTATGTATCACTCAACTAAAATATCAATATGAGACATATTAGAGTGCTCTACTTTCAAGTAATTTGCATACCAACAGTGAATATTAATGCAAGCTCTGTGAACACTACCTGGACAGTCACCACTGCCAGATTCAGGATAAGGAAGAATTCTCTATAGTCAGTTCACAAATAGGGGCTCTTAGAGTACGTCATATTCTATTAAGGCAACTATCTATACACATCATTCCTTTATAGACAATAAATTAAAAGTTTTACTACTTTTGCCCTTTATTATCAAGGTGGAAAAAACCTAATCACTGCATAATTTGTTTCTGCATAACAAGGCACTAAAAATAAAAAAAATAAAATTCAGTTATTAGATCCTATGCCTGTGTTGAGAAAAAGCTAAACTCTCTTTTTAACTGCAGGCATTAACACTATGGTAATGTACAACCTGATCTGCATCTGCAGTTATTTCACAAACTACCACTCCTCATGCACTGGTGCCCTTTGCATATGAAACTGAGCAATTGTCATGGCTATCTAATGCATTTCCAATGAAGCACAGCAAATGAATCACGTAAAAAAAAAAAAAAAAAAAAAAAAAAAAAAAAAAAAGCAAAGTTCAAAAAAATCAGAGACAGAAACAACGCTTTCCAACAGAGCTAAAAGGTCAAATTACTAACTGTAATAGCCATGAAAGATCAGATCATCCAGAAAAAGAAAGATGTGTAGCAATAAAGCTGCAACTGTGCAATGCATGGAACTAAAAACTCACTGCATCAATAAGCTGGATTTTAACACTGCTACAATTTTCACTATATGCTATGGATGTAACAGCTTAAAACCACCCAGAGTGACTGAATAGATTAAAATTATTTAGGAATGTACCCAGTCACCAAAATAAAACAGATTAATGACAGCAGTTACTTCCTTAACATCAGATATATGCTACATGAAGACTTTTGCATAACACCTGTATGACTCCACTAAGAAGAATTTACATGCAAGAAACCTTTAAAAGAGGTAATTTCTGCAGCAAGTTGTTATTTATGAGTATTTTCAAGCTTTTTATCAGATGAACAAAGGAAAATATTAAGCATAAAAATCCATAAAGCACATTGGTTCTACAGAGATAAAAAAAATACTGTAAAATTTGCTGAAACATTTGGCAAGTAGAGAGCAATTACACTGTCTGAATAACCTCAAGTGTTCTACCATCACAGATGTGCATATGTGCCTGTGCTGCAAAAATCTGCCCGCATGATGACAAAGAACCCCCACAGTAGTCTCCCAGCCTTTCAAATTCCACTTTTATTCTCTCACATTTATTAGAAAAATCAAAGCTATTTTCTTTCCTAGAATAGGAAACTCTTTTGTAAAGGGTTGTAGGTTTTTGTGGGGATTGTGGGGTGTGGTATTGGTTTATTGTTTTCTTAATGAAGAGAACATACAGCTATGTTTGATATTATTTTTGCTGTGGTGCCAGAAAGTCATTGAAGCTTGCAAATAGCTCCTATCACATTTTATGTTCCTGCAGTCTTTTAAGATGTTGAGGACTGGGACATGAACTCCCTCTTACAAAGGAACCTCTTGGGACTGTCTGAACAATCCAAGCCACCTGAAGCTGCTACTCTCAAGGCTGTAAAGGCACTGTTTTGTTTTCTGTTTGCAGAGTACTGGTTTCAGAATCAACCAGATTTCAGAAGCCCTAATGATGGGTGATGATGGGAACGCAACATTTCAGGATGAGGTCCAATAGAATCCCCTTCCTACATTCTGAGGCACAGGCCTGACATACTTTATGCAGGATGTGGACATGGTTATATGCGAACAACATTCTGATGTGTTCTATCCACCCACTCCCCAGGTTAGGAAACTTGCTCTAGGCATTAATTCAAATCTCTTATTCCAGGTGGGTTTTTATTCTTGGATTTTAGATAGAATGTACTGGTATAAAGAGTACTTCTATTCTGACTATATCCTTTTGAGCCTCTGCTAACCTTGGAGTTGAAGGAGCCATACCAAAGTCAGAGAACGGGGATTTTGAATCCAGATCATCACAGCAATATATACACACATATTTACAAGCACTCTCTTTCCTAAGTCTAGCACAAAACAAAATCAGTAGCCCTTTGGGATGACAAACATCACACACAATTTTTACTGTGGCTTTCAGCTTGCTTTTGAACAATGAAAGCACTGAAGCACCTGGAACCTGGCTATGTAAGGAGATTATCAGCTCCCATAGAACCATGTGCAGCCATGATTACCTGCCTCTTTCTTATGAGTAAAATTCTCTGGGCCTACTGCCAGGGCTGTAGGAAGATATTCATACTAGTCTTCTATTCAAGATTCAGCCTTGACTAAGACAGTCTGAGACTTCATAAAAATTCCCAAAGCCCTGTTTTACCCAGCAGTGTGTCTCACTTGACTGAATTGGCAATGTTTTCAGCCCTCCATGCTGCTCATTTTTCCCCTGTGGATGCTTCTACGTTGCTGTAGTGAAACCACTATAGCCAGAACACATCTGGCACAGCCTACTCCTCTGTGCTCAGAATTTCATGTATAAGATCACCTCCCTGCTTTATAACCACTGATGTTAACTGACAGCTCTAAATATAAAATCAAGAATTTAAAAAAAATTGTCAATTCAGAGACAGTGCACAGTGTTTGTTAGAAAACATGAAAAAGTGTAGTTATTTTACTGCTGGCAGAATTGGGATAGGAGGGTTCCTCTCACCCACTCCTTTCTGCTCTGTTTACTTTCCTGCTGGTACCACAGGGAGTTCTCACACTACCAACTGTGAAAGACTGTTATATAACTTATTGTTTAACTTTGAGAATAACAGTCTGTCTGTGAAAGAGAGGTATGTTCAGTCAGTCTGGAGAAGAAGCAAGAAAATGCCACTTAAACACAGAAGCATGGGAAGCTCCTGTTTTCCCAGAGTACCTATGACATTGCCAAGGTTTTAAAAATCTTCATACCAGACTGCCCTCTGCTGGGCTGTAATGCAATTAAATGCTATCCCTGCTCTTCACAACTCTCCCACCATTCTAGAATCTGTACCAGAAATGTTTATGCGTTTTCTAAGGCATAAATGAAAAGATTTGATAGCCTCTTTTTCAAAGCTGACATATCTGACTAAGAAAAAACAGATTTTTTCCTCAGAAACAACCCATTTAACTGAAGAGCTGGAAACGCATCTGTATTTCTCTGCCAACATCATTTTCAGCACCACAGATTTTGTTTAAATCACAGCATACTTGGGGGTGGTGTTGAATGTGTAATAAGGAAAAGAACCCTGAAGCTATTTGCTTGCATATTGCCTTGTAAATATATTAAGCTGACAAAATTTTATACAACCCTCTCTTGTCCTTATCAATGACCTAGTTTCCTATCTCCATTGAGAATACACACTACTCCAACTCCCTACAGCACACCTGATATTATTTTTTCTGAAGTATCATGGCAACATTATTAATTTTGCAGTCTCTGAAGGATCTCCTTGTCAGGTGCAAGTATTTCTCTTCCTTGAATGTAGTTGCAAGACCTGCAAATTCTGTTCAAACCTATGTACGAAAGTTTAACACTCCCCCTACCATAGAGAAACGTTTGGTACTTAAAACTAGAACACACACACCACAATTCAACTGTTTTCACTGAAGTTTATGTAAAACATAATGTCTCTAGTTAGCAGGACTAGCAAAGCTGGTAAAATACAAACATTTTTTTATTTATTTGACAGAAACACATGAAAGCATGCATTTTATAACATGTTGAGCTCTGCAAAGTTGTATTTTAAGATCTACAGCAGCATCTTAGCACCAAGGAAGTATATTCAGGACAGCACCAAACAGCATGATATTTTAACTTTTCCCCCACTACTTTGTGGTCTTCCACTCTCTTAAACACTTAGAAAAACTGACCATAAAATTTGTTGAACGGCCTGAAAACAAGATTTGTGACACATTGTACAAGGATGAACCCACATTTTGCAATTGCACTGTTTTGGTTTGGGTTTTGTTGGGTTTTTTTAATTGCACAATATTTTTCTCCTGACCATTAAAAGAACCTTTCTTTTCTGGCAACCTAAAGACACCCCTATCATTTTCATAGGTTAATGTGTTGAAAACTGACACAAACTGATGATCACATTTTTGATGAGAGTACCTGCAGGAACTGCGGACACCAAACCAGGCTAAAACCACTTCATATTCATCAAAAGTGTCAGATAAAAAAAGAGACCAATATAGAAACAAAATGTACTGATCAAATGTAGTAGGCAGGAGAGTACAGAGTATTACAAGTATTCATTCACAGGGGAAACATCAGTTCCCTGATAAATAGAAAGACCATCACTACATTCCAGCAGCACTTCAAATAAGTGCACTCAACTGCACATTGCTAAATCTAACATGGGGAATAAAACACATTAATTACAAAAGGTTTACTGGGATTTTGCACTATATAGTAGTAGTTCCACAAAGTAAGCTTAGGAAATCAATTCAATTTCAAATAACACAGTCTGTACCATATGTGTGTTGATAAAACTTATAGGAAAATTTAGAGTTCTCCAATTATACACTGAGTATTAACAGATTTTGACCTGTATATCTCCATTCTTCAATTATGTAGAATAGATATATTTCTTTTTCAGGGAAGACACTGCAAAATTAAATATAATCAAATAAATATACAGCAGGGAATATCCAGACACGCTGGCTATTAGAATAAGCTTTTTGTGCAGGAAGTAGAAGCTGGGGCTAAACACTGACCAAGAAGAAACAAGAACAGTGACACATTGTCCATTAAATCATCTTCTCTGTCTTGGAATATGTATCAGACAGAATGACCTCAGTGAAGAAAAAGGGTATATGATTGTCTCACTGCAGGCTGGAGGACTGATTTAAAGCAAATTAGGCAGCCTTATTTTCAGGAATTCTTAATCAATGATTTTTAGTTCAATTGTCAACTCTACAACACTAACAAAAATAAAAAAATCAAAATAAAGAAAAAGTTTTCAAATCAATATCCACTATCAGTTGTTAGAATCTGAAAAACAGAATATGATAATGGTAAGGTGCAGGATGTTACTATACCTCAGCTCCCCCCATCCATTTTGGTTCATCAGGAAATTCAGCACATAGGATATCTTCTGACTGGTTAGTTCCTAATACGTGATAATACAGCTTTTGATGCAGATTAGTGGAGGTCTCAGTGCCTAGTAAAATGCAGATATTTAAACCAGTAAGTAGTCAAAGAAATGTAACAACCATATGAAAGCCTTAGAAACTTGTGTATCCTTTTGTATATAAAAGAGAAATTCAGAAGAGAGAACTAGGAATGTTCCAAGCTACAACCATTCCCCTCCAAACAAATACCATCCTACTAAACAAAGATAAAACTTCATGCTGGAAACCTGCATAAAAGTAACCCTTTCCTTTTACTGTTGGTAATACCTTCTTCAAATTTAAAGATTTATCATTTCAAGCTTTGCTTTCTAGAAATAAAAGCAAGCAAAGCTAAGAAAAACAAGAATCTCTGACACCCTCTAATGGCATCTTCATTTCCATTTCACCCAGAGCAACTAAGGGGAGATTTACTGCTAATTAACATTCCTAGAAACCGTCATACTTCCATTTGCTGAAAATATAGAAGTGATGTCTTTTAAAGCACTGTATGAGGCTCCACTTGATTTAATTTTTTAAAAAAATTCATTCTTGCAACATTTCCAGCACTTCAGCTTTTGAACTACAAACGGGAGGTAAAAAAAAACCTCAACAAAACAAGGTCGATGTCTATCTTGCAAGTCTGGCAAAATTACAGGCTTCAAAAGCAAATACAGAGGCAAAATTCAGGCTCTCTCCTGTTTAATGAAGAGCACATCTCGAGAAGAAACTTTTCAGTAGTTCTGCCTTATAACAGAAGCTGCTAAATTCCTTCCCCAATGAGGCTCCTCCACAATTTATCCCACTTTGTGCAGTGCTCTTTGAATTTTGCTAGCATAAACATTTCGTTTTGCTTTGCTGTGAACCACACATGAATTAATCTGGTTGAACAAAAAAAACCTTATACCTCTCATTGCTACTCATCAAAGTCTCCTAAAGCAGTTTATCTATGCCCACACAAATGCTTAAGGGGAAAGATCTAAGTAAGCTTCCACCAGATATCAAATTCTAGCCAACACCACCAACAATATGGAACTTAAGTAAATCATCCTAGAGAAAAAGGAAGCAGTAAACTTTCATGAGAAAAAGAGGGGCAGGTAGACAAAAAGTGATTCGCACTAACTGAACATAGGCTTTGGCGATACAAGCCATAATTTCATCTCTAATTGCACAACCAATACAGCCACTTATCTCAATACAGATTTGTAGAACTAATTATTTGTTGCACCAATTCACTGCAAAAGTGATTTTGCTTCCACATAGTATGCAATCAGAATAGTCATACCTACCATCACTTTTCCCATCTTGTTTTGGGTAGCAGTTATAGAACATGCCTTTTCCATCATGGGTCCATGCCATGCAACTGAATTTAACTCTCTCCAGTGTATCTGGGAGATCCTCAGGACCTTCTACTTTCATAAACTTAATAGTAATCCAATCAGAGCCACTAGAACTCAGGCCATATGCAAAGTATTCACCATCTTCACTGAATGCATAACCTAGGAAAACGGAAACAAACGAAATGAAGAGAGATTAAATTGGGATGCTAGTTAAAGCAACTGTTCACCAAACACTAAGAGAAGGTTTATTTTCTAAAAACAGTGCAAGACACTACATCTGTTATCACTTGAGATTCACACCACTTTTCCACTCTCTGTGGACTTCTAAATTCACAGATCCAAGTTTAAGCACAGTAAGTATATCCATGTTCAGTAACACAACTTATGCCCAAACAATTACGGTTTGAATTATATTTCTTCTACTGCCCTGAGCTTGGCAGGAAGAGCTAGAAAATGAAAATGAACACAGGTAGAGAACTTGAGTGAAAGTTTAAGAGAGAAACGGTACCAAAGAAGCTAAAAAAGATGCAAGCTATCTGAAAGTATCCTGAAATAGTTAAATACCACTTAAAAAATTGAGTCACTGAAAACTAGACCCTTTAAAACCCTGAAAACTGAAGTAACTGGGAAACTTTACCACATTAGCTTGCAAATGGTTAATTACCAGTATTCTCAGCTAAAACCTGTGCTATGTATTTCACTTTATCCAAAAAGTGATGAATAAAAAGCTTCCATCATAGTTGATGAAGATCAAATTCATGCTTGCAAATCAAGTCAAGCGAAGAGACTGAATTATCATAGGCCTGTACAGACCTGAAAGTAGCTACCAAAAAATTATCTAGGAAAAAGTTTAATTTCATAATCATGATAGTTTTGAGAGGCGCCACTGTGCCACATCAATATATTCTCTCTCATAAGAATGTAAGAGTGGCAATTCTGGTTCAGAACAAAATTCCACCTAGTTGTCCTCAGGAGTAACCACAATGTGATACCTACACAAGTAGGAACAACCACATAATCATGGAATGGTTTGGTTGGAAGGAATCTTAAAAATCACCTATTTCTTACCCTCCTGTTGTAGACAGGGACACCTTCCACTAGATAAAGGTTTCTCAAAGCTCTGCCTAACCTGGCCTTGAAACACTTTCAGGGATTGGACATCCACAACTTCTCTGAGCAACCTGTTCCAGTGCCTCACCACCTTCACAGTAAAGATTTTTTTTGTAATATCTAATCTAAACCTATTGTCTTTCAATTTAAAACCATTCTCCCTTGTCCTATCACTACATACCCTTGTAAAAAGTCCCTCTCCAGCTTTCTTGTAGGCTCCCTTTAAGTACAGGGAAGTTACTATAGGGTCATCCCATATCTTTCTCTTTTCCAAGCTGAACAATCTCAACTCTTTCAGGACTTTGTTATAGATGGGGTGCTTCAGCCCTCTAATCTTTTCACAGACTCCTCTGGACTCCCTCCAACAGGTCCATGTCTTTCCTAGAATGGGGGCCCAGATTTGGATGTAGTACTCCAGGCAGTCTCACAGGAGCCCAGTGGAGAAGCAGAATCCCGTCCCTCGCCCTGCTGGCCATGCTGCTTTGGACACAGCCCAGGATTAAATCAGCTTTCTGGGCTACAAGCTCATTGCTGGCTCATGTCCAGCCTCTCATCCACCAGGACTCCCAAGTCCTTGTTAGCAAGGATACTCTCAATCTCTTTATTCCCGAACAGCCTGTGCTGATACTGTGCAATGCAAGCACAAGAACAATATGCAGGAATAAATGCAAGAACAATGCAAGCACAAGTAATATTTCCCTCAAATATTCTTATAATCTCCAACCATTTTCAGTTTAGCAGAATTGTTTCCAATCAGTAGTTGGATAATACTCCTGAATACTTCCCTTCCCCTTGATTATGTGCAGCTTGCCTTTTTCCACCACCAACATCCACTGATAAGGGGTTCTACAGATCTGCTTCTTGCAGCATGAACCATCACCTTCTTCTGTTTGCTTGGGACCGGACTCCCACTGCTTTCATTTGATATTCCCTCATTCTTGTAATAAAAAAATAAATTCTTATTTCTTCTCTCCATCCTATTGCATGCCACAAATGGTTCTGCAGACCTCTAATATCCTTGCTAAATTGTCTTCTTTTCCAAGCTGATTAATACAGGCACACTCAGTTTTTCCTTTGATTTTTTCCTATTGCCCTCCTCAAACCTGTATTTCAGAGCCCCTTTTGAGGTGAGGAGACTGGGACTAAATTTAATGTTCAGTGGTACAGTATAATCTCCTGAGTTGCTAATGTAATGGTGTCTCCTTGTTTTGTTCACTATTTCATAGAATCACAGAATCATGAAGTTGGAAAAGACCTCCAAGAGTTCAACCTTTGACTGATCACCACCTTGTCAACTAAATCTCAGTGCTGAGTGCCACACTGAGTTTTTCTTGAACACTTCCAAGGAGAAAATGTCTTCCTGATGAATAAATTGGTATTTGATATACTTGTTTAGCTTCTACCAAGAACCAAATTGACATTTTCATGGAATTACACATTACACTCCAAGCATTGTTCCCAAGAGGTCAACAGGAACCTAAGAGTTCACTCCATCCATTCCTCCATAAATGAGGTTAGGACTGTTTGTCCTCTGTGCATCACTTAATTTATCTGCACAAATACTTTTACCTGTTAATTTATTGTCCATTCATTATTATTAAGGTATTCCTGCACCTCTTCAGTCATTCTTCAGCCAGGGGTAACTTTGTACTATCACCAAATTCAGCTACCTCACTGCTCACTCCTTTTTCTAGTATGTTCAGTATATGAACACTGCAAATCCTAGAACAGTCTCTGACAGGGCTTTATTGGTGATTTCCACTTGACAGCCCATCAGTTCTTCCTTTCCCTACCCTTAAACCAATTAATAATCAAAACCAGGAGTTTTCTCTCTTGTTACACAGCTGTTAGTTTTCTAAGTGCATTTGGAAGGAGACTATGCTGCTAAGACTTCTAGAAATACGCAGAGATTACATGAATGCAATACACACAGATTAAGGCAGAACTTCACCATAAAAAGGCCATATTGATTCTTTTCAGCCAGGTCACTTTTAGAGAAATATTCACTAATTCTGATGGCTGTTTTTATTAACTGTCCTTGAACAGACTTAGAGGACTTTTAGGTCCAAGAATCTACTTCCAAAAATGAGCAAGTAGGGACTGTGAAAATTGACAGCTAAGAGAAGTTACAGCCCTGGTGAAAATAAACAATCTTATGATCATAGAAGTTAATGCTATGTTCCTTCACAGTCCCTAACTTGTTGGCCTGTGTTAAAGCTGCAAAATACAATTTTAAGAGAACTAATCAAGATAAATACATAAACTTTTTTCCTTGCTAGGGAGAGCCTCAAGAGCTGCTCATATTTAATTGGAAGCCTGTTACAGAGTTGTAAAAAAAAAGCATTGGGAAACGGAACCAAGTTTATTGTGGATACAGTGTAGATTTAGAAGTGTTCTTCTGACACACAGTACAAATCCACATAAGGCTATTGTAATTATTTAAGATTAAATTTTCAACTTCTGCTGAAGACTGAGACTTACTCAGCAGGAACTGCTGTCTCACTAACCTCGTAAGGCCACAGTGCCATCATCAGAAAGCTTATTTGGATCAAGAAAAACTTTGGCATCAGCATCTAAGGAATCTTGTACATATAAAACACGCTGATTCTGGAGCCCAGTATTGTAGAAGTGAAAATACCTAAAAAGAACACAAGAGGGAAAAATTGAGTAGGAAGAACTCTAATTTTCAGTTAGGCAAACACAACTTGTATGAAGTTATCATGAAGCGAATAAAAGACAGATGAATAGGTTAGGGAAACACAAGTTTCACAGCAGAGTAGGAGTCATGGCTAGGATGCATCCAAAATATCCTTTAAAAATAAAAGCTGCATTTGCCACAGTACATTTCAAAGAATTCTAAGTATACTATAAACTCCACATAACTATCTATGTTATCACTGGCAGCTGCAGCATTTTTCTGTTACAAGTACTGGCACAGGTTCCCATCCCTTATGTTCTCAGCTTCGTCATTCATACAGCTGCTTTCATTCCATACCAGGTGACAGACTTATGTTCAAATCAAACAGAACCAAAACTGTTTGAATATCCCTACAATGTGTGTTTGAAAAAGTTGTAGGAACAGACAAATACAGACTGTCTTTAGTGAGTGATACTCTTCACATCCTAAGACACTACAGAGCTCACAGATATTAACACCCATTTTCAAGTGCTTTACTACACAAACTCGTGACTTAAAGAACCAGGCAGCAGCTTCACCTGGGGGAAGAGGAGAATTTACAGAGCAACATTCAAATCTAAATATAAGTTCATATATTCCCTAAGACTGACAAGTACTTGGCTACAAACATGGGAACTTGGTAAAGCCAGAAGAGGAAAATATACTCACAAAGGCCTGGTTAACAACATGAGCTAGTAATATGTTCAAGTAATAACAGTAATGTTCAGCAAGTGCAAAACTGTAAGATTAAAAGAAGTAGAAGAAAAAGAAAAGTAATTTTCTATTTGATCAGCCATTTTCTTGCCAATTTCATCTCTGCAATGCTGAGCAACAAGCTGGGAAGCAAAGGTCAAGCAATGAGACAGACACAGCACCTCCCTGAGCACCCTTCCTTTCTGCAGACTCTACAGAACAACTCTTTGGATACTGTCCTGTAGCAGCTATTCTTCATCAGAAAACCAGAGCAGTTAAATGTAAGAGTTTCTAAGTGTCATGAGAAGTTCAGAAAATTCTTCAAATAGAATAGTTCCTTACCCCACACTTTACCGAGTGTTATTTGACATGGTAGAGACCTCTTGATCGCCTCAAACACCACAACATAGGGCTTTTCTATTTTATTTGTATTATATTTGAACCACTCCAATTTAAATCCAGCACATGCCAAGAAATAGAGTACCACTCAGAAAGACTAAAAAGACATCTATTAAAGTCGAAGTAAAGTGTCATGAATTACAAGCACATCAAGCTCCTGGCACAAATGTTCTTCCTGGAGGACAGTCAGCTGCATTAAATTAAGAATTTGTATCTGCTAGCAGAGACTGTATTTATCACTGCCATAAGACCTCCTGCAACCTTAAGCCTTAACAGCGCTGAAGGTAACAATACCCAGACACGTTTGCACTGCACAGGGAGAATAGGTCAGAGAATCTAAAGCAGTCACTGACCAGACCTGGTCACCTGCTACATCTGCATGAGCATCACATACAAACTAACAAGCTGCACCTGACTCACTCAGCAAGGCATACGTCCCCAGATGCAGCACAGTCCTAAACAGCTCCACTGCTTCTGGGCTTAAACCTCACACCTCTACACACTGGCATGTTGTGCCATATCCATGACAATTAAAATCCACATCAAATCCACCAACAGCTTGGTTCATATGGGTATATGGTATATGGGTTCACTCTCTACCATACACCTTCACCAAACCCCACACAGTACAGAATTTCCCTCCCTCAGTAGTGTCAGTGCCTTCTTCACAACACAGATCGCTAAAACAAATCCCGCTCAATATCTGTGTAGAAATCTTAAGGTAACAAGATATTCTCTCTTTTTCTGTGGATTATCTGTGGATGGTGGGGAACACATACATAGCATAGCTGGGTGCCCGCTCAGCAAGGACAAAACAAATTGAAAACATTGAAAAAGATTATCTGTGTTTCCTATGATTAAGAGTGGCTGGTTGTTTTTGCTACCTCTTTTCAACTGCTAAAACAATCTTTAGATGTAGTTAAGTCCCTTTACACCCTTTCCCTAGAAGCCAGCTAGTGTTTCTAAAAGAGGTCACATTAAATTCAGCAGCTGCAGTCTCCAGATCTTGGGTAAGACACAGAAACACCACCTCTTCACTTAGCCTAGGGATATGAGTAGATTAGGCACTGGAATATAGCAGGATATCTTTGTTTCTAAGAAAACACTTGCTTTATGTCCTCCAAATGATTTTTCACATATACCCTGCAGCTACAGGAACAGTTTTTCACAAGGGAATTCCTACTGCTTTTTACTGGCTATGACTAAACAAAAAAAGCCTACCAGCTGCTCAAAGAATGACCAATGTAAGAGTAGTGCTCTAGCAAATATGTAAAACAGAACACACGACAGGCTTATGCTGTTTGCAGACAATGTGCCTTTAACTATACTGATAGTAACCAAGCCTTTCTGAAAGGAACTCCTCTAAGCTTTACTTTTACAACAATTATTCTACAAAATTTTCTGGGTTCTCATAAACTCACAAATTCTTCTTCTTATAAAAGAAAAGCCAGCAAAAGAAGAAGATAATATGATTGGGAACTGCAGAGAGTGAAGCACCTTGTGCTCTGCATCATGCAACCTCACATTAACATTGGCTTAGTTTTCTTCACAACTATTAAAAAAATACAAATATAATTTGTTTGCCTAATTAATAGTTGCTTCTGACTTGCTTCACATTCATCACCACATCAAAAGACATTCCTCACATACCTTTTTCCTTTCTTGAAGTGGCAGCTGTACTTAGGATAATCATAAAGTTCAGTCATTCGTTCCTTGAACAGTCCTCTAACAGGACACTGCTCGAGAAAGGGTACTGTGAGCTTGTTCTGAGCTTCCACAAATGCCTGAAAGAAAACAATCAAAAAAATATAAACTGAAGCAGAAATTCCCATTTTCTACAGAAAACATTCTCAGAAGCAATGCATCACAGACATCATTCCACCATATAGATTACACAATGTCACACATGAAGAATCCAACATGCTTATTTGCATTATGCCACAATTCTTTAATAGGACTCAACTTATATCTTGAATAATGACTCTCCAGTTCATACACTGGGGAACCAGCCAAGAGTCCTAAAAAAAAAACCCAAAACAAAACTCCAACAACCAAAGAAGCTCTAAACAAATAAAAACCCAAACAAACAAACAAACAGCTGCCCTTGACTGGTCCAACCAAGCACACATAAGAGGGAAAAAAAGTTAATGCTTCTCTTCAGTATGATACCACCACCTTGAACATTCGAACTGGCCAAGAAAAATGGGGGCAAGATAAGCATGGGTTAGTTTTAAAAATTTTAAAAATACCAAGTACTTCAGACTTTCACAGAACCATAGAATGGTTTGGGTAGGAAAGGTCCTTGAAGATCATTTAGTTCAATGCCCCTGCTATGGTCTGGGACATTTGCCAGTAAACCAGTTTGCTCAAAGCCCCATTCAACTTTTCCCCATTAAAACACAGGGGCAAAATAATGGCATTTTGGTGCCATGAGATATCACATGAACTTTGTTCATTATAAAAGTTTTCAAAATGTATTTGCAGTTGCTTAAAAGCAGAGTACCCATGCATCTGGTCAGTAAGAGACAAGCATGTGAAAGCAGCCATTCCCATGCAAAGAAAGGTTACCTTTGTCTCTTCACTATCAGGATCTTCAAGCCAGCAGTACGGATCACTGATTTTACATCCATGGTAATCCAACACCTGAATTTATAAAAGACAGTAATTTAGAAAAAGACATACACACAAGAAAACTCTATCCATCAAGGAACCATAGTCAGCATGATGAAGGGCATCTGGAGTTTCACAAAAGCATACAGTGCTAAGGAGCAAAGACAGAACCAACACATTGCTCCAAGGTAAATCACTAGTATTACCAATCTTTGGTGATGGCATCACAGCAGCACAGTAGTTCTCAGAAAAAAAACACAGAGCACCAGAAAAATGGTGAAATGCACATAAATTCCTTCTACAAGATAGATTAGTAAGCAAAAATGAAAGCCCACCAACCAAACCGAGACCCTTAAGGTTTTCAAGCCAAACTATAAAACCCAATTACTGGATGCATACAAAGTATGGTTCCTGGTTACACAAACGGTCTCTGGTTTAGCTCTCCCTACTGCTGTTGCCCACAAATATGTGCATAATGTGTATATATATAAATCGTAATATAAAAAATAAAAAGCCCATCTCCAAAACAACAAACAAAACAAATAAACCACAAAATATTAATCCACGTGGTTGAATTTACCTGCTTCCTTCCTCCAGTACTTTAAATAAGACTAGATACCTGCTACTAGGGTTTGCACAGTTCAGCCTTACAGTCAAATGGGAAAACAAATTCTTCAGGACTTTTTCCAGCTTTGGCTCATACCGGCAAACAGTTTGGTATAAATGCAATGTAGATCTTTCCTGGCCTGTGCACAATGCACAGTGGTTTGAGAAAGGGAAAGAAAATCGAACCCATTGTAGCCAAACTTACACTGTAATCCCTTGTGTATCCAGATACAGTGGAAATACAAGAAGATGAGACTATGTTACAGATGTGCCATCCTATATAAATAGACTACTTGTTCCTCTGCTGACGCTGCTGCAGCCCGGGCGGAGGCCCGGGTTCCCCTGGCACACGCACCGGTACCGAAGCTCCGGGATGCGCCGTGCGGCCGCTGCCCCCGCACCCCCGGCCCCGCCGCCCGCCCCGGACCGGCTCCGGCCCCGCGGGACGTGCCCGGGGGCACCGGCGCGGGCCCGAATCCCGCCCCGACAGCGCCGGCAGCCGCCGCGGGCCCCGGGCGCGACAGACCGAGACCCTCTGCAGGGAGCACGCCGGGCGTTCCGTGGCCGCAGCCCAACAAAGCCCCGAGAGCCGAGGCGGCCCCGCGGGGAATGGCGAGCCGGGTGCCCCGCGCCCGGGCCCGGCCGCCGCACGCCGGGTGCTGTCCCGGCCAGCGCCCTACTCACGGCGGTCTCGTCGCGGTACACCTCGGGGTACTGGAAGGCCGGCATGGCGGGCTGCGGCGGAGAGGGCCAGGAAGCAGAGGAGGCGGAGGAGGAAGAGGAGGAGGAGGAAGCGAGGCGCGGAGGCGGCCGCGGGGCCGGGGCCGTGTTTCGAGCGCTGGCAGCCGCCGGCAGCAGGCGCGCAGCGCGGCACAGGCGCAGCGCCGCCGCCGCCATACGGCCGGCCCGCGCAGCGCCCCCTGCCGGCGCCCGCCGCGCCATGGCGGCGGCTCAGCGGCGGCCTCGCCGTCGCCGTCCCGCCGCCCTTGGGCGCTGCTCCCTCGTCCCGGTCGCCGTGCTCCGGCGTGTACCCAGCTCCACCTGGCTTTCATCCTCCTTATAGCAAACCTTTGCAAAAAAAAAAAAAAAAAAAAAAAAAAAATCAAATCGTAGGTTTTCATTTTTTTCCCACTCGACTCCCCAGCCTTGGCCCGCGGTGAGGGAAGAGGCTCGGGTCTGGCTTGCAGAGGTCCAAAATCAGAGCTGATTCCTAGATGGAGTTAATTCTTTGGTTCTAATTATGTGACTCGGGCAGCTCAAACACAGGTTACAGAATCACAGAATCTATTAGGTTGGAAAAGACTTCTGAGATAATCAACCTGTTACAGAAGACCACCTTGTCAAGAAAAGCACCAATCTTTTCCTTAAAAAACTTTAGGAACTGAGACTCCACCACCTCTCTGGGCAGTCCATTCCAATGTCTAATAATCCCTCCTATGAAGAAATTCCTCCAGATGTCCGGCCTAAACCTACCCTAGTGCAGCTTAAGACTGTGATCTCTCATCCTGTCACTGGTTGCCTGGGAGAAGAGACCGACCCTCACCTGGGTAGAACCTCTTTTCAGGGTGTTGTAAAGAGCAATAAGGTCACCCCTGAGCCTTCTCTTCTCCAGGCTAAACCTGGCTTGGTCCACTCAAACCTTTAGTGGTTTCCATCAGACATGCTTCTGTAAGTTTCCAGTGACTCCCCTTCGCCCTAAAGTGAAGGACAAGTTGACTACCTGGTCCCAGTGAAGACAGCCACCCCAGAACACCAGCCCAGCTGGCTGGTGCTTGTCACCCTCACCCCCAGAGTCATGGTGTGTAGTCCCACGCCAGCTCCCACCCTGGCCTGCGCAGCCAGTCTGGATGAAAGGGCTCCCAGTAAAGGTGTTTCAAGTGCATGACTTCAGGCTCATCCATGGGGTGTTTATTTTACAATAGGATTTCCTGGGTCAGAAAACCTGCAAACATTTTTCCTCCAGGGAAAGACCAGGTATACTCCTCCTGCACAACAGAGGAGACAGGAGGCAGCTTGGCAACGTGGCTGAACTGCTTTTCTTCCAAATGACGCTGCTGCCCACAGCCTTTGCCAAACTGTCCTGTCAGCCTGGGGAGAACTTCACTGCAGCTCTTCATCCAGGGTAAACTCGTGTGTGTGTGTGTGTGTGTGTGTGTGTGTGTGTGTGTGTGTGTGTGTGTGTGTGTGGTTATTGGCACCAGCTGGACATTTGTGTGTGGCATTTAAAGGTCTGGTAAGCCCAAAGAGTGGTCATAGTTCTTAATAAAGTAACCACCTGGAATGACAATAACCTAAAACATTTTGGAAATGGCATCAAACCTTTATAGTTACCAGCTCAGAACTGTGTCTTGATTGCTTCCCCTTAATGGAAAGAGTTACCATCTCTAATTGGACATCCTGTGTAAAGGCTAAGGTTTGTGTACATATGAAATATGCCAGCCCCATAATGGTCACTATTACTAAGTGACATAACTGTCTTCATCATCTTTGCTTACATCCTAAACTACAGCTATATGGCTTCCTTTCTCTCACCCTTTCTTTTGGTCATTTTTCCTTCTTACCTTGTTTCTTTGTTAATCTTCTCCCTTTGCAAGACAGTAGGACAGAGGCTGGCTACAACTATACCTTTTTCTCAAGAACATGCCACCAACAAGGATGTTGATGGCAATGCCTTGACATGCCCAATGATGATAAAAGCTTGCAAATTGTCTGAGAAACTTGCTTAGGTAGATACTGGCAAGCCAAAGGTGTTTCTGTCTAAAGCTTCCCAGACAGAATTGTATATGCACACAAATTTGCATAATGGGGAGAATTATTAGCTCAATACCTCTGTCAAGTGTTCAGCTTGCCTGTGTGCAACACAAACAAGCTATATGTCCACAGTTTTTCTGGGAGTTTTGGGCAGCTTACTGCAAATTTGTTTTGTAGATACTAGGGGCCATGCATTTGATTCAGAGCTGCAGTTTTCCTCGTGAAAATGTCTTTTTCAGCCTGAAGGTATTGTCTGCAATTAATGTATTTATGTTTATCCAGAATGCCTGACTGTTTAGCAGCTCAGGCAAGGTTATCTGTCATATATCTGACTGAACAGCCGTACATCTCAATAGCCTGAGCATTTCCACGATGTCTTCGAAGATCAGCTTCATGCTGTAAAAGAAGCCAGTCTGAGTTGTAGTGGAGGTTTTGGGCAGCTGTTCTTCTTCCACGCAGCCGGAGCTCCCTGAGCTGGCGGGAGAGGCAGCCTGACCACGAAGGCGCTCCGCGGCTCCACACGGCAGCACCCGGAGTTCCTCGGGCTCCAGCAGCGCTCTCCGAGCAGGGCAGGGTAATTCCTGAACGGGCTGGCAAGCATCCAGTAAGCTCAGCAATTATCCATCACAAAATACCTTTCAATTCATCCTAGATACAGGATGAAGGTGGGAATATACAAAAAACACCCAAGTACATAGAGGTCCAGGGTAAGATCGTTGGACCTGTAATTTTACAAGCAGTAATTTTCTTTCAAAGATGAGCACCAGGGACTGAAATTTCTCTACTGTAAATTTCTCCCGTGCTTTTTGGGGGTAATGGGGGGAGAAGGAAGTGAATAATAGCAGAAGGAGCAAGTCTACACTGTTGGATGTTTTCTTATCAGGAAAGCAGTTAATATGGGTCCACATAGTGTCTAAAACACTGCACAAAACATATCTTTCTTACCAGACACCATGCACACCCTGTACAAATGAAAGAGTGCAGTGTACAGTCTGGTAACAGAAATCCTTACAATGAAAGGTGTAGCACTCTTCTGCCTTTTTCAATATGTTTGGTTAACACAAAATTAAAAGTTATTCACATTAGGACTGAAAATTTGAAGCCTATCTTAATTGTTTGTATTGTAGCAGAAAGTAAATTTCTACTAAAATTTTACCGTTTCTTGGGCCTAATGAACACTAACAGAGTTCAGCTTTGATATTTGCTGTCTTTTGAAGATAGATTGCTGAGTAAGCAAAATTTTTTCTTTTCCATATATAAAACAAAAAATTTGAAAATCTCTCAGTAGTGTTTGTCATCACACTCCCATGTTAGCATGATTCTGATCATTTGCAAAACAGATACTGGTCTCTGCGGATATTAATTATAATTCTGCTGATCATCCAGTCATTAGCAAATCTCTTTTGGCTTAGTCAGCATCTCCACAATGACTCACTGCAAGAAGTATATTGACTCAGTAGGAAGTGAACTCATCATCTTGGCCAGGGAAGATCTGACAAAAAATCTAGCAGCAGATTTTGTTTTTACCTTTCCTTGTCGCCCTTTCCCCAACCTCAGTCACATAATGACTTAGCAATAACTGGAAACCTTTCAGTTATAGAGTGAAGACACGTCTGTACCTTTACTCCTGTTTTCTGTATATGTTTTTTATTTCATTTACTTGATTGTATGACATCAGTTCTGCTGTTCAGATGTTTACCAACAGGTGTCAGCAGAACCTCAGTCTTGTGCTACGATGAGCGTGTGCTGAGGTGTACAAATAACTCCAGTTTCAGAGGAATGTGACTCTCAAATTGTCTGCCCTGATGGGTTTCTATTTTGGAAGCACTGACTCAGGAGCCTAAGTCCTGTTGATTTTCAGTGATCCCTTGATTCCTAAATTATGTTCATCTAGCCTACACATTAATTATAATAATTTTGTATTGTTAATGAGTAATTAAAGGATTGCTTGTTTTTGAGATGAACTATAAAGTTGCTTACATAATAAAATATGATTTTATTATCTCAGTCACAGAAACATCTACATGACATAGGTCTGGTCAACATTTGAATGTACAATCAAGCAAAACAATATTTCATTGTGGCAAACTTCTCTGTAGGCCGTGGGATAGGATGGGTTCATTGAAGTCAGTGTCACACTGCAGAACCATCCTCTAGCTTTCCCTAGGTATGTGCATTGGTGTGCTTACATGTGCTTACACTGCTGTGGAGTCAGTTCAGTGATGTAGTGATGTCCACAAAGCATTAGCATGGCATTGCAATTACAAAGTGGTATTAAAAGGTATTTCATCAGGTAGGCAATCTAAACCAACATACCTAAACTGTTGTAGGAGGGTGAAAACAGAGATTATAGTGTAAATACACCCAATCCAAAATCACTTTTCTATGAAGGAACTTTTTCAGACAGATGAAAGTTAAGGTTCACCTTTTCCTTGTGCAGTGACCTGAGGTGAAGTACGAATAAAATTCTAATCATAGACAAGACTGATGACTCTTTATTATTATTATTATTACATTTTAACATTTAAGTAAGGATTTGCCAAAAACCAGAGATCACATAGTAAAATCTATGTTCTTGTGTCCTTGGGTAGACAGTCAATACTCATGTCTCACTGCATGTGTTGTGCTTGGGTTGTTTAATAAGTTTTCACAAAGACCTTCACTATTTGCAGGATTTGTAGGTCTGGTGCCTACTTATGCACCAAATCACTGTCTTCCTGATACCTAGATTATACTTACTTCAGCATTTCTGGAAATTAATCCTAATCTTATACAATTCAGCTGGGACTCCTGGCTCAAGTATCTTGCCAAATTCTTCTTAAGAGGCTCTTGCACAAGAAAAGTCAGAAGGAGTTGAACTTTTCTTGCTACACAGTATTTTATTACCACACTGGGGAGAAGGGTGTGACATAGAGACCAACAAAGTCAATAGAGGTTTTTCTGTCTACTTTTTCCCCACACCTATTTCACTGAATCTTGAATCAGTCCTTCCTCCACCTCCTCCCACCAAATATCACTCTGAAAAAAAAATTATCTTTACAAATATTATTTTCTATCTAAAGAAAATATGTTCATTCTTTTGTGTGGAAATGTAGCAAATACATATTGATAAAATGGAAATATAAGTGTTAATTTTTAGTGTTTGCTTTTG